GGACCAGTCCTTGAAGAAGTACATCATGCTCAGAAGAGTGGAAGGACAACACAGGAGAGGAAGACCCTGGGTGAGATGGATTGATTCAGTGACTGGGGCAACGGGGGAAGCAGTGTCAGAGTCAATGAGACTGGCTCAGGACAGGGCAGGCTTCAGAGCTGCTGTACATAGGGTCACTATGAGTTGCAGGCAACTCGATGGCACATAACAACAAAAAATAGAAAAAAAAATATTGTCATAGTTGTTGATTGCCTTCAAGTCGAGCACGACTCATAGTGACAATATGAACAAAAGGTCTGAAGCCTCTCTACAACTATCAACATTTATCAAAGTTCACAGAGCTTCCAGAGGCAAGTTGTTTAAGAAATGGATGCCATTCCTGTTTCCAAACCTGTCATCGAATGTTATTGGTTGAGTCGCCCATGATGCATAATGACCCTATGCACCTCATCCCTGAACCCTTCCCTGTCCTGAGCCAGTCTTATTCATTCATGGGTAGGAAGATTTAACACAGTGAAAATGACAGTTCTACCAAAAGCAATCTATATTTTCATCCACTTGGTTTTTTAATGGCATATTTGTAAATAAAATTAACATCAGCTTAATATATACATATTTTTAATTCACAGAAGCTTTTATTAAATAATAAACAGCAAATGAATTCATTTATATGAATAAACAATTTCTAGAAATTGTAATATTAAATAATTAAACTGCTTTGGATGAGCATGCAAAGAAATGAATAACAGTACAGTTGGTCAGGAAATTCTTTGAAGAAGTGTTTCCATTTTTTTAACGTAGTCTGTGAGTCACCTTCCTTTCCTTTGCTACCTATTTCTGGCACTATGTTTATCCAAATTTAACAGAGAGTAGCATTTTAAGATTTTTTTTCAGGTATTAGCTCCCATTTGAGAATATTGTTGTTATGTACCATTGAGTAAGAACCAACCTATAGCTGGCAGTCCAGAGGGTTTTCAGAGCAGTTAATCACACAGGAGAAAATTGCTCATCCTTCTCCCACAGAGCAGCTGGTGGCCTAAAAACATGTGGCTTTGGGATTGCAGCACAGCTCCTTGCCACTAGACTACCAGAACTCCCTCCATATTAGAATGATGTTGTTAGGTGCCCTCAAGTCAAGGATGACTCATAGCAACCCTACGAACAAAAGATCTGAACCCTGTTCTATTCTGTACCATCTTCATACTTCCTGACACGTAAGAGTCCATTTTAACTGTCACCACGTGGTTGAGGTTCTTCCTCTCCTTTGCCAACCCTCCACCCTTCCCAACATCATGTCCTTCTCCAAGGAATAGACCCTCTTAACAATATGTCCAAAATATGTGAGGTGAAGCCTCATCATTCTTGCCTCCAAAGAGCACTCTGGCTTCACCATCTCCAAGACATATCTATTCATTCTTTTGGCCATCCATGGGATGTTCAGTGCTCTTCTCCAACACCACAGCTTGAAGGCATCAATTCTTTTTCTGTCATCCTTTGTCCAGCTCTCAGATGCATAGCTAGTAATCAGAAATACTATGGCCTGAATCAGATGCACCTTAGTCCTCAAACTGACATCACTACTCCTCAATAACTTAAAGATCCCTAACTGCAGATTTTCCAAGTTCAATGGATTTCCTTATTTCCTGACTGCTGGTACCAACAGTGTTAATTGTAGATCCAAGCAAGATGAAGCTGCTGACAGTCTCAATTTCCTCTCATCCATCATGGAAAATGCCATATGAGAATAGACAACTATAAATTTATTCTCCCAGGCACAAAGAGAGAGGAAGCCTTTCTCCAGCTTCATCCTTTAATCTCCTGGAATTAGAGTGACTGAGAAGAGTATTGCCTTAAACTGGAGGTAGGCCAAAGAATTTAGTCCAGGATTTAAGAAATGGGTGTGTGTATCTGTGAATAAGTTTTAAACAATTTGTTCCTGAGAAGTAGTAAATCTTCTTTGCTGTTGGCTGTCATAAGAGTGACCTTTGAGACAAACACAGGGCAAAAAGGCAGGCATTGTTCTGGGAATAGGCTGAAAGGGACCTTGTGTATTTCAGTCAAGGTGTGCTTTTGGAGATCTTTGTTTTGTTGAACTAAACACTGGACAAATGGAAGAACCAATCATATAAGCCCAGGATCTTCTGGGAACACTTTAGCCAAAAGTAGGAGACCTATCACGTTGAGCCGAATGCATCTGAGATTCAGTTATCTCGAGGATTGAGGGGTCTAAGTGGATGAGCTGCCTGGAGACAGTGGCCCCAGAGACTACAGGAAAGAGATGTATTAAACTCAAGTCCTGCTGATTCTGGAACACCTCCTAGCCTATCACCAAAACATATGTTTGTGATCTGCTGAACATGAGTTATGAAGAAAGGGAAGCCCCACAATGGAGCACCTTTATCAAAGCCCAGATCTGAAGAATGGACTTGTTTGCCTTTAACGTACTTTAAAAACATATTGCCGGTGGGGGGGCGGGGGGCGGAGGACGGGGGCGGGGGGCGGCGCTGTGGGCCTCATCGGCCGAAAACAGCCTGGCGAGTGGAGCATGGTGCGCAGGTTCCTGGTGACTGTCCGGATCCGCCGTGGGGGTGGCCCGCCACGCGTGAGATCGTTTGTAGTGCACATTGTGGGGTCCCCGTGGGAGTGGGGGGAGGCGAGGCAGCGCGCCCTGGACCTCGTGCTGTGTCTGCTAAGAAGCGTGTGGAGGAGGCAGCCGCTGCATCCTAGAAGACCAGGTCATGATGTTTGGCAACACCCAGGTGGCCGAGCTCCTCCTGAGCTATGGCGCAGAGCCCAACCTCGCAGACCCTGTCACGCTAACCCGGCCGGTGCACGACGCGGCCAGGGAGGGATTCCTGGACACGTTAATGGTGCTGCATCGCAACGGGGCACGGCTGGACGTTCGCGATATGTGGGGTCGCCTCCCCGTGGACCTGGCTGAGCAACAGGGCCACAGAGACATCGTCCACTACCTGCGTGTGGCCTTGGACGCTGATGGAGGTGTTCGTGGGCGCAGACGGTGAGACTCCGCCAGAACTGCAGCTCAAGCTTCTGAGCTTTCCAGCCTCCTCAATTGGTTCTTGAATATTTTTTTTTCTTCGTGCCTCGTGGAAAAAAAAAAAACCAAAAACACATTGCCATCAAATTGGAACAGAATCATGGCCGACCCTCCATTTTTGAGACTATAAATCACATAGGAGGGGATTGTTGTTCTTCAGAGGAGTCACTCTCAGAGAGGCAGCTTTTGAATTAGCAGTACAATAACAGAATGCCCTTCAATATACTTAGGTGCCAAGAATGGATCGAAAGAGTCTTTCACAGTTGGTCTGTATCTATAAAATCAGAAGGACCAGGATTGAGGGTTTTTACTGTTAATGTTGTAAAGGAAGTGGGGAATGAGAAAATAATATCACCTGTGAAAATTAGGAAAAAATTTTGGGTTTTTTTTTTTTTAATACTTTAGAAAGTGCTACCATGTTTGAGGTTTTTACCTGAACAACTCCTAAAAGGATATGGTGGAAAGAGGACCTATTAGGTTTTTCTATTTCCCTGACAAGTGAGGCTCCCAAAAGATTTTAAAATCAATATAAAAATCTAAACGAATATGACTAAATTTGCTCTGATTTAAGGAGTAGGTAAATCCAATCACACGGTATTTACCTAAAACAATATCTGACACACTATCAGAAGCAGTATCAGAGTCACTGTAATTTAGTACAGATCAAAGCCAAAGACTTTGAAGCCAGACACCCTGAGAACAAATCCTAGTTTAAAGTCACTTGTTTGGGAGGTAACTAACTCCAGGAAATATCAGGAAGGGTGTAAGGAAATAAAACAGAAAAGGGAAGGAAACCAATTAAGGTTATTAAGTGACCTATGACTGGAGGAAACTGAGAGCACTCCTGCTGGGGTTCCAGAGAAAGACACACAGAGGCGTCACTGGGATTGTTGTCCCCCAGTAAGTACTATAGCTCACAGTGTCACCATCACTCACCCAAAGTGGGACCGGCTGACCTTCCACTCCGTGCAGGTCCACACTGGACAACAGGTGAGTGACACATCAGTGCTTTGGCAGCCCCCTCCTGCAACACTGGCTCACATGCCACCAAAACCACCCTGGGGGCCATCTGGCTGTCATGCTTCTGACAGCATCAAGTGGTCCAATCTGCATCCCCTCACACTCCTAGTGACCCCAGACAGTACAGAACACATCAAAGGGTTATTTCAATCAAGAGAGAAGAAGGTGAGATGCTCATCAACCCTCAATCCTCTGTCCACTATAGATGGTTCAGGACTGCTCATAAGGCACACAGTCTTGCCACAGGTGCTGCCAGGCAAGCTCCCAAGATCAGAACAAGGCGCTCACACAGAGTCTCAGGTGTTTATGATGCACGTCGAGTGCCAAGTGGGTATAGGGGTCAGCCACCAACTACGTTAGTGATGCAGCGAGATAAGGCTCGCCTCAAGGAGTTTGGAAAGCACTTTCAGAGGCATTGCTATATTTATAGGGCAGTTCTGCTCTGCCCGTAGAGTCACTGTGAATCTGAATTGGCTGCCTGGCAAACAATAACAATAACAGAAACCTGAAAGGTAGGTTTTTATTGTCCTCAGTGTACAAACAATGAAATGGAGGATACACACACACACACACACACACACACACACACACATACACATACACATACATATACATATACATATACACATATATAACCTGAAAACCAGAGCCAGTGAGTCAATGCTAACTCATAGCAGCCTTAATGCATTAGAGAAGTACCCACAGGATGTAAATCATCACCAGACATGGATGATGAGTCAGCAGCCCAGTGCTCAAACCACAGCTCTGCCAGGGTTCCAGATGCTAAATGATCCACATAAGCAAGAACTAGAACTCAGATTACCTGTTTTGAAATACCATGGGGGTTTGTTTTGGTGGGTTTTCTTTTTTAACTCTAGTAAGCTTAAAAGAATGGAAAGTTAGTTACCAACAACCACATAAATAAATACTCATTCTACCTCCAGACCTAGTGGGAGGAAGCTGTGGAAGAAAAAGAAACTGTGCTTGGAGTACTGCTGAAGAGGTGGAGGGTGAGGAGACTATTCCGAAATGAGGCTGATACTACAAGTGATTGTCATGATAATGACCTTGAATTCTAGAGAGAAGGGCATTAGGAGTTAGGGAGGGATAGAGACTATTCAGAACCCTTTGTAAAGAGTGTAACCTATCAGGCTGCTAATGGAAAAGTCAGCAGTTTAAATCATCAGCCATGGAGAAAGATTCACAGCTTCTGTAACCTGATAAAGGGTTGCTATGAGTTGGAATCAACTGGACATTGGAGGGTGTGAGGTTTTTGTTTATGGAACTCTTAGATTTGATTCCTTTCCTCTCACTCTCTCCCTCCCTCAACCAACTCCAGCCACAGAGACCTCCCTGCTGCTCCTTGACCACTACAGCTGCCCTACCGCAGTGCCTTTGCACTGGCTGTTCCTGCTGCCTAGAACACTCTTCCCATAGGTATCCACGTGGACTGCTATTTATCCCCTTCAAGTCCTTTTAAAACCCCACATTCCCAAGGAAGTTGACCTACCTGGCTTTGCTATTTATATCCTGATTACCTATCCATCCCACAAGCATCCTGTTCTCTGCTTTGATTTTTCTCCTTTCCCATCACACCCACAGCAGCTTGTTTCCTGTACCACTTCTTCATTATGCAGTGTCTGTCTCCACTTGCAAGAACATAAGTGCCACAAAGGCAGGTATCTTTCTTTAATTTATCCACAAATGTTCCTCAAACTCCTAGAGCAATGACTGCACTTGTTGGATAAGCATTTGTTGGATATTGAAATCAGTGAATCCTAGGTATTCATAAACTCACAAAGGAATGACTGAGGTGCCAGTGCAGGTTTTCACAGTAACACAATGCTCCATGCTTCCAAGAAGTGATTCCGTTGTCTCTGCTTTCTGTATACTCCTCTCTCATGAAATCCCCACTCTCCTAATCCCAGGTCTTTCCCTTTTATTTTATTGTTCATTTTTGTCTGGCACCCTCTGCACTGTGAAAGTGCACTTTTTCTTGATTTATATCTAGATATGAGTGGGTTTTTTTGTCGTATGTAGACCTGGGAAGTAGGTGGTAACAGTTTCTATAATAACTGGAATGTCTTCTTCTTCTTTCAGGACACAGTAAGTTCCATGAACCGTAACTTCCTCTTGGTTATATCCGTGAAATAGAAAGTAAGACTCATAATACGGTCATCATCAGGTTAGGACACTGCCCTTGCATTGTTAACACTATGTTTACTTTTACACATTCACAGTGTTTGAAAACACTTGCTCAAGTTCTAACATTGAGGGTTAAGAGATAAAGGTTCAAATCCTCAAAGAGGCTGGACATTGGCCCATCAGTGCTAGGGAAAGGCTACAGAGTAATGGAGTCTCGCTCCAGATTGGAACCTCTGATAAAAGTACCAGTAGATCTAAATAATCCTAAAATGTGAGCGGAAAACAATCAGTTTTATATTTAAAATATACCCTGGGAAATGTTGAGAGATTCAATTCAGGATTTAGCTAGTTAATCATGCAAATGCAAACTTACTGCCATCAAGTCAAAACTGACTCGCAGCTGACCTCCAGCGGACTTTCAGAAGCTGTAAACCACACAGGAGGAGACTGTCCATCTTACTTCCACACAGCTGTTGGTGGATTTGAACCACCTGTCTTTGGGATGGCAGTGCATCTCCTTTACCCCCAAGATAATCAGAACTCCTTAATTAACCAATAGATAGTTTTATTTCCTGAAGCCTTAAATTATAAGCAATTAAGTGTGTGAAGAGCATGAAAATATTACATGAAGGAGAAAAATCTTCAACACCTAGTTTCAGTGCTATGGATAGTAATCTGATGTGAAGAACACAGAGGCCGAGATAAATTCACAAAATACCAAGAAGTCATGGGAAAAGATATTTTAACAGGTTAAAATATGGGCAAATTGCATAGTTAGCCAGAAAGGTCATCATTATTTATCCTTTAAATAATAAGAATAGAATGGTTAAACACCAAATACTCCATTTTCTAATCCATCCATTCATCCATCCATCCATCCATCCATCCATCCATCCATCCATCCATCCCATCTCTTGCAGTGCCCACTAAAGATACAGAAAAAGAGTTCCCAGCAAAATAGAAAAGATTAGCTGAGGATAATTTCACTAAAATTCAGCCAGGCCTAAGAATCATTGGCCTATTTGCAATGTCTGGGTTAAAGTGAATGAAAGAGCAAAGACATCAGTATTTCTGGGCATTCATACTTAATCACATCTATTTTCTTACAAAGTCTTCCTGTTTATACACTTATTTTAAACAGATAACCTCTCTTTTTGGCTTGTTCATAAATGCAAGGTGGGCAGAGTGGAAAGAAGTCTTTCATCTTTGTTTTATTCTGTTTAATCTCTTCTGTGAAGCAGGAGCCCTGCTGGCACAGCAGATTAAGAGTTTAGCTACTAACTGAAAGGTTAGTAGTTCAAAACCATCAGCCACTCCATGTGAGGCAGATGGAGCAATCCACTCCTGTAAAGTCCTACTCTGCCCTGTAGGGTCACTACAAACCAGAATCAACCCATCAACAGTGGGTATGAGACCATGAAGCAATTAGGACTTTTGGCCTTGACATTGACTTGCAACAATACTGGACATATTCAGAAACTACTGCATGAATGAATGTCCCTATGTTAATAACCTTGCTAAACACCAACTCTGGCTCAAAATAATTATGTTTTAGTTGTTTTCTGCCACTTAGTATGGAAACATTTATGGAAATTTCTCTAACATTGCCCTAGTGTTGTATATTCAGGGAATATACAATAATAAATCGTTAAAATGGGTTCAGTCTGACTCTATAGACCATATTGTCAACTCCAGAAACTTATAGGCACATGTAAGGGAGACCAAGTATTTGATAGAAAACTCTCAATTACAGATGCCAAAAAAGTTAGTAAACAGAATGGGAGCTGTTTAGTTTATGCA